ACATCCCAGGTTTTACCTTGAAAACCCACTTGCATACTATTGCCCTCTTGCCTTTTGGTAAAGGCCTTAGATCCCATGTTTGATTTCTGTCTAGGCTCTCATTCTCTTCTGTCATAGCTCCAATCCAGAAATCTTTCTCAAGGCTTGAGATAGCCTCTCTAAAATTTACTGGATCACCTAAGCCAACCATCAGAGCATAACTCGCCATGTCTCAAACCCTAATCTTTCAGGCGGCTTAATGATACGTCTTGGTCTTTGAAGTGCCAAACTCTCCTCTGCTTTTCCATGTTGAACGTCCTGCTCCACCTCAACAGGTTGCCCATCACGTCCTGCTGCTAGTCTAGTCTCACTAGACTCATCCTGTGATGTACCAGAATCCGTTTCAGTCTCAATGATCATAGGAACTCGATCTGATTTCGCCTGCTGCACCATATATTGCTCATCAAAGACCACATCTCGACTGAATACCCTCTTCTTATCAACAGGATCATATAACTTGAAGCCCTTCACACCTTTTCCAAAACCCAGAAATATGCACTTCTTAGATTTTGAATCCAGCTTAGACCTTTTGTCACTTGGAACCAGCATGTAAGCTGGACATCCAAATATCTTCAAGTTTGACAGATCAACATCTGTCCCAGTCCAAATCTCTTCAGCGACTTTCCCTTCTAAGGAACTCCTAGGCGACCTATTGATGAGATACCCCGCCATGTTTACTGCCTCTGCCCAGAACTGCTTAGGAAGCCCTGTATTCAACCTCAAACATCTTGCCTTCTCTGCAATAGTACGGTTCATCCTCTCACTGTCACTGTTTTGCTGAGGCGTTTTCTTGACAGTGAAATGTCTTTGAATGCCATGCTCCTCACAGAACTTCTGAAACTCCCCGTCAATATACTCTATGCCATTATCTGATCTCAGATACTTAACCTTTCTCTCCACCTGGTTTTCTACTTCAGCCTTCCAAACCTTGAAGTTTGCAAAAACTTCAGATTTCTGCTTCATAAAGTACACCCAAACTTTCTTGGAGAAATCATCAATGAAGATGAAAAAGTACCTAGACCCTCCCAATGACTGTTCCCGAGTTGGACCCCACACATCAGAATGAACATAGTCTAAAAGACCCTTTGTTGTGTGATGTCCTGTCTTGAACGAAACTTTGGACTGCTTTCCCATCACACAGAACTTGCAGAAATCCATCTTGGAACTCTTTAACCCGTCCAGAAGACCCCTCTTATGGAGTTCAATCAACCCATGCTCTCCTATATGCCCCAGACGCATATGCCAAAGAGCTGTGCAATCGGATTCAGACACAGCAGCTGCAGCTCCACCTACAACTACACTCCCTAACATCTTATAGACGTTCCCAGCTGTCAACTTTCCTTTAATCACCACCAAAGAACCCTTACAGACCTTCAACACGTATTCATCTTCATCACCTCTGAGTCTGAATCCGTTTCTTTGAAGAGTCCCCAAAGAGATCAAATTTTTCTTCACTCCTGGAACATGCCTAACATCAGTCAATGTTCTGATGATGCCATCATGCATACGAAACTTGATCTCTCCAGTACCAACGACACCACATGACATGTCGTTTGCCAACTGAACAGATCCCATATTCCCAGCCCTATACGTCTCAAACCATTCTCTGTGAGGAGTCATATGGAATGATGCACCTGTATCTAGGATCCACGAGTCTGTGTGATTACTAGATGTCACAGCCAACAAATCGCCTATACTGTCATCTGAATCCTCCTTCTGAACTGCGTTTGCAGAACCAGATCCACCGTTCTGTTTCTTGTTCGGACAATCTCTTCGATAATGGCCTTTCTGACCACAACCAAAGCACATCGATTTCTTTCCTGGTTTAGACTTCGATTTGTCCCTTTTACTTCCATCCTGCTTCTTTTCTTGCCTTCCTCGTTGCTGGTTGCTACTCACGTATAAACCATCACCTTGAGACTTGTCCACCACGGGATTGTTCTGTCGCCTTTCCCAATGGGATTGCAGCGAAGTACAAACCGTCTCCAGCGATATAGTCATTTTTTTTACTGTAATAGCTGTCACCAAAGTCTCTAACTGAGGAGGAAGAGAACACAGAAAGATCATGGCTTTATCCTTGTCCTCAATTTTAACATCCACACGCTCCAGATCCCCAATGATTTGGTTGAAGTTGTTGACATGAGCAATAAGATCACCTGACTCTGCCATCTTCAACCCATATAACTTCTGTTTCAGATACATCTTGCTGGATAACGATTTCGACATGTACATCTTCTCTAACTTATCCCACATCTCCTTGCAAGTTGTGATGTTCATCACCTGATTGGTGATATCGTCAGAGAGACAAAGTCGAATCGTCGAAACAGCTTGATCCTGCATATCGTCCCAATCATCATTCTCGATCTTGTCCGGCTTCTTCTCTAACAGCGCCTTCTTTATACCCTGCTGTGTCAGCAGATCCTTGACTCGACTTTGCCATAGACCGAAATTCCCTTTCCCATCGAACCTAGGAACATCGAACTTGAGAGAATTTCCTTTCGTCATGGCAATTCGCGGAAAACCTTGAGCTCTGATACCACTTGTTGTGAATCAAGCACGAAGAAAGCAATAAAACTTAGAAAAAAATCGCAAATTGAGGCAAACGCCCGTTTAGGGTTTTCTTATTAATTGTGTGAATGAATAATTACAAACCCTTAAGCCCTGCATTTATAGCCTAAAAAAAACCCGACTCCCAAACCCACTAGAAAACAAAATTTTCTCTTCAAGTGAATCCGCATAAACCTATGACCTAATGAAGTCCACTAGATGCTAGTTTATCTTTGTCACCAGAAACAACATGGTGTCTCTCTCTAAAGTGAGAATTTATCTTTGTAAGATGTTGGACTACTGGATTGGCTCGTTCTGGCTCAGTCTTAATGCAAAAAAGTTGATTTATGTTTCAGAATATACTTTTATTTTTAGTATAAATTCGACTGATTGGAACCGCATGATTTCGTTCGATCCTTTCTGATTCAACGCAAATTTTTGTTTCTCATTCGGTATATTTTCCAAGCTACTTTTCACAGTACATGACGGGATAGGCATGAAAACCCCAAGGAGAAAATCCTTCATCTTCTCAGCAACTAATCTGATACATAACAAGAACATCTGCAAACGAATTTCTTCTCTTCGAGCATTGGGAGTAACATTTTTCAGAGGGACTCGCAATGTGGTTTGTCACACTAAAGATCATTTCTTAGAGTTCGAGTTGTTATCTAATCTCAAAAAAAAAAAATTGTTTGAAGTTTAAAAATTCAAACTATGAAAACAACCATTGTAAAAAAAATTTGTTTGGATGATTAAATTTTGCATGAAACTCTTTATAGTATCTATCCGAGATTCTCATGTTTTTAATTGTTTATTTTACAAATGAGTGATTCGTGATTTCTGTTAATTTTTTTGTATTGTTATTTACTCATTTATGTAGTTAAAAGAAAATTGGCGACGGTAAAATTTTTGATTAAATTTTTCTACACAAAATATTTTATATTTATTTACTTATAAATAATAATATTTAGATATATATTCCTTCTGTTTTTATATTTAAAGTTTAAGATTTTTACATTAAAATTAGTCTTTAATGTTTACTTGTCTATACTAAAACATTATTTATTCACTAGGTGAAGACCCGCGTGTACACGCGGATTTTGTATATTATTTAGATTTTTAAGTTGTGTTTAATATAATCAGATAAATTTCATATATATTTAGTGTTTAGGAGTTAATTTTTGATTGGTAGGAAATATATTTTAACAAATACAACCTAATTCGAGATTGAGGATCGGTTATTCGATAAGTGACAAAATGTTTTTACTATTTAGAGTAATGTGATTTGTTATAACTTTTTTTTCTTTTTTTCTGAGTGTTTCTGTTTATTCAATCTTTTCGTAAACTTCCCATAATAGTTTTTTTACTCTCTTTTACTTGATTTTTTTAATGTAAAACACTTTTCGTTTACTCTAATTATAATTATAAGAACTTCAATTCTTTAATTATTTGTTTCTTTAAAAAATCAAAACCTATACAAAAAACTTCTTGTACATCCTAGAGGAGAGAGCAATAACTGTAAATTTTAATTGTATTAAAATTTGTTCCCAAAATGGTTACTTACATAGTTACATCCGTGATTGTAGTTGTAACATTTTCAACTTTAAAAATACAAAAGGTTTATCAATCATTTCAACTGGTTATGTTTAAACATAATCATATAATTAGCCGAAAAGAATTTTAATAGATCTTTAAATAGTTTATTTTTGATTCTCTATTTTAGTTCGTAAATAATTTTTTAGTTAGTAAATAACTCACATCTCTATTTTGTTAAGAGATTACAATTATAAAGATAGTAAATAATTTACAGCAAATTAATCATCTCAGTTTGACCAAGTTATTTCATTAGATGAAGTTTACTATCTTTATAAAAACTATCACCGTGATAACCAAATTTAAAAACTAACACTGTAATAACCATCTTATTTCATCTTTCTAACTTCTAGGAATGAGATTACTGAGATAATAATGAGTGCTAATGACAAAAAATGGATATTAATTTCTTTCTTTTCTGATTTTTAGGATTAAAAACAAAATTAATATTGATGTTAAAATTTTTTTCATAATAAATAATAAATTGAAAGCTGATGTGTCATAAGAAGAAGAGTTGATGTGTCAAACTTGTGAGACACAACTAACTCTTTATATAATAGATTATTTAAATATAATTCATCCAATAAAAAAAATCTGCAGAATATAAAATAGTCAAAAAAATAATAGCTATTTAATTTTGTTTTAAATATTAAAAAATCATTTATTTGAAAAACCCTTTAAAATATCACTTCATTAAGAACATATTGTATATCTATAATTTTAATATTTGGTGCACTTGTGATCGGTTCGACCGAATCAATCTAACCGAATTTCAAAATAAAAGACAGCATAAATTAATTGAGATTTCGGCTAGAAAAGAAAAGGCATAAATCTACGAGGAAGGTATCAAAAGAAAAAAGGAAAAAAAGCCCTAAATCCACCAAAACCACGCATAAGTCCATTTAAAATCAATCCCTTTACCTATATCGTATCACGATCCTTCCTTTACATCGGAGATTTCATCAACCTACGACAACGCTTCACCTTCTCCTTTCGTATCTGCCGATTTTCTCTTCCTCGGCTGAAACCCTTTCGGATTCAGCCTTTTCTCGGTATGTTATCTTACTAAAGGTTTCATCTTTCTCACTTGAATTCGCTTCTAGATCTTAATCTCTGGTGGGTTTCTATTGAATTACTCATGTTTCTGATAGATTCAAGATTTCTTTGATTTATATTAAGAAAGGTCTGATTGTAGATTACTATGACCAAATTGTTCTGTTCTATTTGCTTTTATTAGTTTTCAATCTGCTTTCTTTTCTGCTGCTCTTTGCGTGCATGATGATGTTCAAAAGCCGAAACCTTTCCTGAATTCTTATCAACTGAAATTCTGAAAAAAAATAGTTTGTCCTTTACATGAATTTTTAAACTTGATACAGTAAAATTCCTGAGTCAGTTTAGATTTTAACAATGTTTGTTGAGGCCATGGATTGATTAAGGCACTCATATGGCTTCCATAGAATTTGATTGAAATGTTATTTCCAATCCACTGTGGAGATCATCTGTTGGAAGATTACTATGAACATAAATATTTTTGCAGCCAATGTGTTAAACTTTTACTTCTATTGGATCCCTTATATTGCTGTTTGCGTGCTTGGGAATTACTTTTAAATTGAAAATTTATTGTGGATAGTTTCATTTGTGTAATTTGGTGAGTGTTTTAGTTTGGCATCTTTAAGAGCTCATGGAACCTCTGTTTACCCGGTTCAAGTTTTGATAGCGGAGATAGTTGAAATCGAAAATTGTGTCTAGGTTTTGTAAGCTTTTGATTAGCTGTTCTTCTCACATGTAAACTGCATGTTGGACTGTTAGGTTTATGTATCTTAAGTTTTTCAAGATCCACTAAGTAATTGTATCAGTACCCTTGAGGCCAGCAGCAGACCTATTAGGAATTGTTAAAACCATGTATTTGTTGCGTCGTTTGATTTTGAGTATATCATTCTGATAAGCAGAACGAGGTTGTGACTGAAGTTTTAAATATGAATTTTTTACGCATATTATAGAACTTTCAAGATACAAAAGTGATTTATATGTAAAGATCACCGCTTAAAACTTTTTTTTTTAATTAGAGTCGGGCACTATAGTGACTCAACTGCTGTCTGGCAGGTTTGCAGTTGGATTCAGATAGCAGCAAACATGGATGACTGGGGTAAGACTATGCCTGAACTGTCCTCTCTTGTATTTGCTATGTGCTGAATATAAATTTTAGTTGTTTATATCTTTGGTTGGATATGGAAGCATAGTTGGATTATTTCTTATGGTTATTCTTTTCTGATTTCAGAGGACGAGGAAATTGCACCGCTTCCAGCAAAAGTTGAACTAAAAAGTAACTGGGATGATGAGGATGTGGATGAAAATGAAATTAAGGACTCATGGGAAGATGATGATGAACCTGCTCTGGTATAGCTTAGATTTTACACTCTCTGCAAATCTTTCTGTATTGGCTACTGCACATTATTTGTTTTGAGATTCCATCTCTGTTTTGATATCTTCTTTTCTAGTTTTGAAACTTAATTTTGTTTCTCTGTAGCCGCCTGCTGTAAAGCCTGCTCCAGAGAAGTCTTCTGAAAAGGGTCCTAATAAGGCATCATCCAAAACAGTTGAAAGGAAAGCTAAAGCAGCTGAAGTTCCAAAAGAAGCACCAAAAGAAGAACCTTTAGATCCTCTTTCTGAGAAACTTCGCATGCAGAGGTAGAGTTTATATTAATTCTACCCTTCCCCACAAAGAATACTTCACCTTAATCTTTTACTTTGTGTTTGTGTTGGAAGAAGAAAAACATCATTTATGAGAAAGATTTATAAACAGACCAAAAGGCTTTGTGTTCTTATACATTATGTTCTTTGTACCACAGGCTTGTTGAGGAAGCAGACTACCGGGCCACTGCTGAACTCTTTGGATCAAAGAATGAAGAAAAAAGACTTGATATGTTCATCCCCAAGTCTGAAAACGATTTTTTGGAATATGCTGAAATGATTTCTCAGAGGCTTAAACCATTTGAGGTGTGATGTATTTCTGTCTTATACCTTTTTTCTCTTGGCTATAACAGACTGTTTGTGCCAATTCTTGAAATCGTATTCTTGCTTTCTGTTGCAGAAAAGTTATCACTATATTGCGTTACTCAAAATAGTCATGAGACTTTCGGTGGCTAACATGAAGGCAGCAGATGTTAAAGATGTTGCTTCGTCCGTTACAGCAATAGCAAATGAAAAACTAAAGGCGGAGAAAGAAGCTGCTGCTGGCAAGAAGAAGACAGGTATGTGCACTGGCAAACAATCACTTTCTGAACTTCACTCTTTGGTTCTTGCAGTGACAAATATTGATTCTGTCCCGAGTTTCTCTTTGGCCTGTAGTTTCATAGATTCATTGTTCTGACGAATAGTTTCGTGATCATCAAATGGTTTTTCATTGATTCATCAGGTGGGAAGAAGAAGCAACTTCTTGTAGATAAGCCCAATGACGATCTAGTGGCTGGTCCTTATGATGCCATGGACGATTTCGACTTCATGTAGATTAAAGAGCTTTTTGAAGGAATACAATTTGGATTGTTCGGCGTCTATTTTCATTATTATCAATTAGAAAAGAGCAAGAAGCAAAATGTTTCTCATTTCTTGAAATATAGTTGGAACAAAGAAAGCTTGCTTTCTGAGTTTTGGTCTGGAGATTTCTCTAAAGAGTCGTGTTTTGTTGTTTTTTTTTTTTTTTGGCTGGTTAAAACTTAAAAGCTTATATTTGGATTAATTTGATGTCGTATAAATTTATAATTGACATTGATGTGAAGAGGATGAGATAAATCTCTTTAGCAATTCTTATTTTTCTTATTTACAAAAACTGTTCGTTACAAATAGGGCTGGGCAAAATATCTGTTATATTTGCTTTGATACGTCATTTGTCTCGATTTAATCCGAAAAATCTCGATTCGATCCGAAAAATCCGGATATCTGTAATTTTATAAATTTGGATATCCGTAATTTTATAGAGCAAATCCAAGATATCCGCTCCGCGCCTATTCTTATGTTACATGGTTTCCCTTTAGACTGACCAATTTCAGTCACATTTCCTAGTGGTATGTACTAATGTTGTCAGTATGTCACCACCCAACTTTACATCTGGTCGAATATCATATTGACAAAAAAAAGTTATACGACTAAAACTAGTTATAATAAATTCTAAGTTCATTTATGACATTATTGGAACATATTACATTTAGATGTTTTTATCTATAAGCCCCAAAAATATGTATATTTTTGAACTCTTTGTAAGCTAACCTTCGGAAGAATTAGTTTTATAATGCTAATTGATTTATGATTTTTCCCTTTAATGTTTTATTTTTTGGTTACTTTTTGACATAATTACCTTTTAAATTAGTTATGGTAATTATAATTAAAATACAATTCGAATTTTTTTTAAAAAAAATCGAAAATTCCAAAATAAAAAAAAAAAAAATATTTTCGGATGCCATTTAAAGAAAAAGAATATTTAAAAATATTTTTAAAATTTGTTCTACATATAGTAGAACGCGTGTTCTACGTTCTACCTTTACGTAGAACCCCAGTTCTATAGTTATTTATAGTTTCTATTAGTCTGTAGAATTTGTTTTCTACACCTCTTTTTATATTCTATGTTATGGTAGAATACAAGTTCTACCGGGTAAACTATATTCTACGTACTGGTAGAATAAAACTTCTACGTATTGATAGAATAAAACTTCTACCAAATAGAAAAGATTCTATGTTATTATAGAATCTTAATTCTATACTTATTAGACCAAGTTCTACGTTAATGTAGAACAGTTCTTCTATTTATGAGACAAAGTTTTACGTGTTGGTAGAATACTACTTCTATCAAATTCTGAGAAAATCTAGAAAAATTAGTTAATTTTCAGATTTTTAAATTTTTGAAAATATTTTACTTTTTTCACGTTTTTTCTTTGTTATTGTAGTATTTGCTTCTTCTTTTTTTTACTTTATCGTTTTCTTCTTCTTCCCATTGATCTAGAATTTTTTTTTAAGTTTACGTGTCTTGTGCTTCAAACATGCTAAATATCTATGTCACTTGTAGTTTATGAAAATCATGGACAGATAAGAAGTGGATTTTTGTGGCTGAAAACTGTAAATTAACAAAATCCCCAAATCAGTTGAGAATATATAAACCCTAGAATTGAACTTTAATGAGAATAATGTGAAGAACACGAGTTAGCAGAGGAGGAGGAAGAACATAACCTACCGAAAATTGTCTTTCAGATGCAGAGAAGAGAAGAAGATTTCGAGTTTCAGGTGATAATATTCCATTCCTTGAAAGCCAGTAAATACTAGAGCCAGTAACCTTTGCTACTAGGAAAGTAAGCAACTTCTATTAGCGCCGGATCTTGAGACGGAAAAGAACGTGAAAGTATTGGTGTTTCCTATGTTTTAAAAAGAAAGTTTCTTCCACTTATTTTCTTGTTTTAATTAAAAAACATTATTTTATATTTTAATTAATTTAATAATTCGAAATTAATGGGTATAATCAGAAAAAAACTCAAAAAAACATTAGAATGACAAATATTTTTTCAAAAACATTAAGGGAACAAATCATAAATCAATTAGCATTATAAAACTAATTATCCCATAACCGTTTAATGGGTTTTAGGTTACGATCAGGCATAGATATTGTTTAAGAATGATATTTTGAATAGTATATATACAGTAAAACTTCTATAAATTAATACTCGATAAATTAATAATCACTATAAATTAATAAATTTCTATGGTCCCGAGTCGGGCCAATGTAAAAATCCATCAAATTTGATAATATAATAAGATAATAATTTTTTCGAAATCCCTTTGTAAATATATGGTCCCAACATAAACATAAATTAATAATTATAAAATTTTCTGTGTATATAGATAAGATGTAATATACTAAAATATGATTAATGTATTGTTTATTTTTATTTAATTTTTAAATTTTATTGAAAATCATTTCTTTACGTATTTACATCAATAGCTTTTAATGTTGTTTTTTTTATTTCCACTAAAAATTTGTAAAAAAATTTAGATGTGATAATTAATTTTCTTACGTGTAACTATTTCAAAATATATTATGGTATTGTCTTCAATTTCAGCCCCAACATTAAGGATAATAGCCATATTGTTTTATAAATTTTGTACTAATGAACATATATATTCTTATATAGATAATTCAATCCACAATTAACAAATAAAAACAACTATTTTATTGCGATTGTATGCTTAAAAATCATAATTTTAAGTTTGTGCATGTCATTTTATAAGCATATAAGTTTAGATTCTTAAGTATAACATCATTTGAAAGAAAATTTAAGAAGAAGATGGGCAGAAAAATAATTTTTCTCTATAAATTAATAATTTATAGATAAATTAATATCACGATAAATTAATAAAATATTATGGTTCCGACATTATTAATTTATAGAGTTTTTACTGTATACGGTAAATATTTGGTTTGTCTACCCTTAATGTGGTCATATTTATACTAAGAGGTCAATTGTGTGACTACATTCTTCTTTTTAAATGGGAAAATTGCATTTTAAACTTTGAAAGTTTACATTGGTCGAATAACTTTGCACTTTCACTTTTTCAGAGTTTAAAATGCAATTTTCCCCTTTTTAAATTGTTGAATATTCTGTTATAGAGGACGCCTTTCTTACTGTTTTTTTGAGTTTTGAAGAAGAGGAAGAGGGATTAACGTGATTAAAAATTGAATGGATCACAAAAAAAAAATATCAAATGTTGTCAATGGATTTAAGTTAAGAAATTGGTTGTCTATGTATATATATGCATAAACACTTAATAAAGTTTTAGATATTGTTATACATGATGGTTGTGTTGGACTTAATGTGTAGTGTCGAGGGTTGTCAAGTTTTACCCTAATTGAAATCAATAGCCGCAAGTGCGCAGCTGATCGATTGTAGTACTTAAGGGATCAAATCCACAGGAAAGGAGGATCTTTTCCTGCAAAAAGCCTTTGAAATAAGTATAAAGTAAGGAAGTCTAGAACTAAAAACGGTTTAGTGTGGGTTTGGTAGTGTGTTTAAAATCTAAAAACGAAATATTAAAAGAGAATACGGGAATTAAATGGCGTAATAATTAAACTTAACGAAAATAACTAAAAATGATAAAAACGGATATTCTAATGCTTAAATGAAAATGAACTAAAAAGGAAAGACAATATTGAACTAAAGCTTTAAAGAAAATCGGTGTAAAACAATGGAGAAGAAAGCGTTGGGGTTCAGGGAAGTTTTCTCAGGGGTACGAACGATTCAAAACATTGCTAGAGAGGAAATTTTGTAAGATCTTAGCTTAAATTTTTCGAACTGGAGTCACGGACGTATGAATACGCCACTGTCGTGATCATAGACAACTATCTCTCTCAACTCTGACCAGTAGGTTTCCACTCTGGCCCTGGAAGAGAAGAGATGCATTATGTTTAAGACTCGTCCTAATTCACAAATCGCCCATAGGTAGGTTTCCACTCCTATGTTTGTTTTGCTCTCCCAAACTAGATCTGATACCTGATGAACGTGTCACCAAGCATCTGGATCAGATTGTAGTTCATGACGCTACTCTCATGCAGTAAAAACGAATTCAGAAGAAAAAGTTCTAAGATTCGGCTCAAAAGCTCATGGAATCCTCATCGAACATATAAATCCCTATCGAAAATCCCTTAATCCCAACAATAAAACTACTCAGACATAATGAACGAAATCAAAGACATAGTATTAAGAAGTAGAATAGAAACCGAAATTGAAAAAAGAAAGAACAAGGGTTCAAGAGAACAAATCTCTCTCTCCCTAAAAGCTAAAGCAAAAACAATAAAAGTTTGAAGTAAATAATTCGGTTCTCTAAGGTTACACGATTTAGGGTTCCTAAGACATGTATTTATAGTGCTCAAGACCTCTCTGGACGTCACTTAGGGTTCCTCCAAATGTGGGCTTCAGAAATGGGCTTTTTGGGCTCAGAGTTGGCTGGCCGCGGTCGGGACAAGTATGACCGCGGTGAATGAGTGGTTTGCCGCAGTCGGGATGCTCCTGACCGCGGGGAATGAGTGTTTGACCGCGGGTGGAAGTGCTTGCCGGCTGGTTTACAGGACATCTTGCTCTTCGCGTATCTTTTGATTGAACCGTTGGATTGCCAAGCTGTAAAGTGCACTGGAAAGCTGATACTTCCATCTTTAAGATCTCCAAATTTGAGTTGGATCAGACGGTGAGAAGGCCTTCAATCAGGGGTGAACTTCTGACAGTTTGACTCTGAGCTGAAATCTGGTTTTCTATCCATTTTGTTAAGCTTTTTCCTAAGTTACCTGAAAAGAGTATTGGAACTACAAATACTAGAAAACGTGATAAAAGTACTTAAAAGCAATTAAAAACATAGAAAAAGTATTTCAAAACGATCCATAAAAGTGGTCAAAATACGGTGTTATCAACTCCCCAAAACTTAAACCTTTGTTTGTCCTCAAACAAAGCAAAAACCTAAACTGGTTAAGTGAAAACAAAAATAGGGAATGCACAAATATCATAGACATGAACTCCTAAACTAGGACCAAAGATAGTGCATCAATCCACAACTTAGTCTCGAAAATTCTCACCAAAGCACAAGAGATACTAGTCCACTTTTTCCGTCATGCAAAACTTAAACAAATTAAATCTTGATTCCAGTCAACTAGCTCTCTACATTCATTAAGTTCAATAGTGAGTTCTCATTAAAGACATCATCCAGGGTAGACGGCGTTTGGCATTAAATGGCTATTTAAGTGGTGGAGTTAAAGTGTTTCGG